AAGTGTTTTGTTCATTCGTTTTTTTTTTTTGGTATTTTGTACATTCTATTGAGGAATAAAAGACCGCTTGTTACTTGATCTTCGCGGAAAACAGAATCAATCTTCAAAATACAAATAATTCTTAAATACATAAAGCATCGCAAGTCAATCAATATCTGGTCTTATGTTTCCAAAATCTACACAATAATGACCGAAGAGCAATACAAATGAAACCAAGGGATATTACACGTAACTGTGAATGAATATGTTTTAATTATGGGAAAGAATGAGGTAAAATATAAAAAGGTCGTTACCTGTTCAGGAGCGAAGAGAGTGATGTTTATTTTTGGTCTTCGACCCAACAAAACATGAAGAACAGCGGAGAGCGCGCAAACTGGTTTACACACCTAAGAGGGCGCTCGCCAATTTAAACAGCGGGAAACGATTACGTAATGGGCCTTATGCACGAGTTGGCCATTTTTGTTGAGTTCCCTGAATGTATTTTATAAATTCTTAACTGTTTAATGGGATGGCGCCAGACTATTAATGCGGCCTAATTTTACTGTCATGTTTCTTTCAAATTTGGTATGAACAATTAGGGAATGTTTAAATACAAATTTTAAATTATGGAAGCAGATTTGAATTGATTCGTAATTTACTTGCTTTCCTTCTTCACAAGTTCCAAAAAAGAAGATGTTACCTCACTTTTAACTCATTATGGCTGACTCGTGAATAACGCCCATTCAAACATTATGTAGAGGGGGTTTGCATCGCAAACGTTACTGTACACTGCCCGTTTTGAAAAATCAAAATTCTGATTATTATATCCTCGCTCTTGTCATGAAAGGGATATTTGGCTACGATACGGCAATCGCAGATTTGTCCTTTGAAAAATATATAGCTAAAATATGCAATTTTCAAAATTTTCAAAACTGCGGCCTTTTCTTGTTATTTGATCTTTTTGTTTTCAAAGGGCAATTCTACAATGGCCAAATAAGCACACATCTTTCTCATGACATACTCTGGATGTGTGCCAAAATCCATACTTGTATCATCAAAGGCACCCCATTACCTCTCTGCCGTACTATCAAACCTAAATTAAGCCGGACCCCTCCCCCCCCCCGCCTTTCATCGGTGGATCTATTCTATAACCATTGGGAGGGGGGTGAGGGGGAGGGGAAGATTAAAATTAATAGGGCCCGATGTCCGACAAATTGGCTATTCCAAGAAGGCGTGGGGTCGCGGACTTTCTAAAGAATCGGTGGATTTCAAGAATCAGTGGAGGGAAGCTAGATGAGTAGACATCATCGTGTTTGATATGGTGGTTTTATCTTGTTCTTTGTTTGATTTATACTGAAAGTAAATAAAATGTTTTGTTGGGGTGGGGCTTGGGCATGCCCCCTCCCTCGACACCAACCTGTCCCCAACCCGTTCCCGACCCCCACTTACCCGAAACCCTCACTTTCGAACTTCTCAACCATAAATTCCCAATCCCTTATCTTAAACCCCATCAGCCTTAATTCAACTAACCCTCAAACCCACCCATCCTCAACAAATCTTTACCCGGCATTTTGGCCCATCACAATTGATCATCCTGGCTTTCAAGAAATGAAAACATGCAACAACATTCCTAAGTAAATGATTGGCATTATCGGCAATACTTTATTATAGGCAATGATTATTTTATTCGTTTACACATTCAAAATACGCACTCGTAAGAAATGAGTTTATGAGTCACAAATGATTCTAAATCAAGTAAACGCCCTAAATCGTCTTGAGCTTTTACTACCCGTGAATTCAATTGACGTCTTCCAAACATAGAGTGTATTTCAAAAGTGTTTGGCACCCTAAATAAAGTACAGCCGAAGGAGTTTTAAAAAGCGTTTTTGCAGTGATCAAAAGCTCGAGAAATTTTCTCTTATTGTTTAGTACATTTTCTGAGTAGTTATATTCGACATTTATCAGATTGATTACTTCGTGTTGTCAAATATTTAAGCTGTCAAAGAGAGCGATATAATCAGCTGTACTTGAAACTAAGCAATCCTTTTCTTAAAACAATTATAAGCTACTACTGTGTTACTGACAAGCGATGGGAACAATGTTATTCTTCTCTCTGTGATAGTGTCACATTTAACAACCCACATTGTAATAAATCATGAACAATCATTTATACAAATTAAACTCTTTCAATTTATATACATGTATGTAATCATCATGACCTGCCAGAAGTCGAAATATCAAACCATAAAGCATTACAAGGCGAACGACAGACTTTTAATACATACAGGACTTTTAATATCAAAGTGATTATAATTTTAACAATCATTGCAGATTTGAGAACTTGGGAGAATTTTTTCCCCAAAAAAGTAAGATTGGGATTTGCTACGTTGCTACGACACACGATATCAATAACTGTTTTCAGTTGAACGATCAAACATGTTTGAAGCATAAATGAAGTCCAGCCAAAGACGTAGATAGTTTCCACATGTTCAAAAGCTAGTGTAATAGGGTATAGAGAAGTTTTATATCAAATTATTCTTTTCTTATAGTTTTGAGTCGTCACTGTAAGCTTGTAACTACTTTGGAGTTCAAATTGTAGAAATACCGCATGAATCCTCAATTGAAAAAACTCCAGCATTTGATGGAGATGGATTTTGTTTGTAATTTTATGCCTTGGGCCTGATATAAACTGACTTTGTTCAAGTTTCAAAAATTGTAATTTCTCACAAGACCGCCAGGCAATAACTTTGTCAACACAAAACTTGTTCACAACTATTAACCAAATATGTATAATCTAACAAAACCTCATTTCACAATCAAACATTTCTACTGGAACAAAGTATTTCAGCAAAATGTGACCAGAAATTTCCTTATTTTAATTTATTCAGTCACGTTGTGGGTCACATGTGAATTATAACTCCTCATCCTGCGCATTCATAATACGATAGTGCACTCATTACATAATTCAATAATAAATTCTCAATCAGGCGACCCCAAATATGTGCTACTTTTCGCTCATCTACTCACGAAGGTTTCCAAATTCTAAAAACCGAAGAGGATATTTTGTGTTAAAATGTTGAATGTGTTAATTTTAACTTTATCATACAATAAAATATGATCCACATCCATGAGAGAGGTAGTGGTAAATTATTCATTCAAAATTTGGTATCACAGTAGAAGTCAACAAAGACATTTAAGTTAAAATAATAGAAAATTATCCCATCTGATGGCAGCTTATTGGATGAAATGAACAAATCCAACCAGTCCAAAAACCCTCCTCACTCGATTGGAATGTTTACTTTGTATACTTGATATTTTCAAAGTGAGTTTCTTGAATAAGCCTCTGTGCTAATAACGTCACACTTTGTTTATGTGTGTGCTTTCCTATGGTGCTCAGTAGACCGTTGGCCTCACTAGCTTCATATGAAAGTGCACATGTAAACAAAGTGTGAAATCATTAGAACAGAGGCTTATTGAGTCTTTTAATCAAGAAACACATGCCATCCTTTTTGGGGCTTTGAACTCTTCGGAAAATTCCACCCCCCCCCCTATTTTTGGCACTTTTCTGTTTCGGAAAATGAGGAAGGTTGTTTATTTTCTCAACATAAAGCATATAAAACGTTTTTGTTTCTATACAAAAGTCGAGCAAAAATATTAAAAAACGGTGGTAAACGTGTTTCGTAATCATCAGAATGAGGCTTTGTACATTTCATTTTTTTTTCAATTGTACTTTTTTGCAGTCAAGTATAACTTATACAAAAATGCTAACAGATTATCATGTTAACAATAATGCAATCATTTAAATAAAAAAAAGTGTATTCTTCTTTTTTTCGAAGCACCTGTAAACTGTTAAAGTTTACATGCAAGTCTCAACGTTTCATCAAATTGCTATAAATAGCAATACAATATTTTGAATAATTATTATTTTAATCACCAAATGTAAGTCAACAGGCCAGGAAATCATTTTGGATATTTTGTAAAATAAAAAAAATGATACATGCATGTGATGGATTAAATCTAAATTTTCTGCGCTGGGCACATGCCGCCGAAGCGTAACGTCACGCGGCGTCATCTACAATAGTGGCCGTTCCACACATTGTCTCGTCCGCCAATTTTACCATATCATCTGTACGGGCGACTTAGGTGAACATTTTCTCGTTTAAATATGCTCAAACATTAAGAATAAATAAGCCCGTAAATGGCACAATGATTTAAAGCTGACTTTAAATATCACTCAGAACGTCTCGGATTCCGTTATTTGTATTTTCCAATGGAAACGCCAACGGGTAACCCCGGCGGCGTATGATGTACCTATTTCTACAGCGTATTATATAGGGAACATGATACAGCCGAGAAATAAAACTGTGTGTGCACGATAACAACCCAAATACTATCAAGGTAAGTAGGAACAAAAATAAATTTAATTTAGTAACTTGTTAATGTGTGTCTTATCTACTTTGTTTGCATATATTCTGTTTAATTAACCTGTTAGTGTTTAATTACACAATACAGAAATCTTTTATTTTCAAAATATTCCGTATATTGTGTAAGGCCAAATGTGGCAAAAAAAAAGTCTTCTGTCGACAATTACGCCTACAAATTCCAGTCAAAATGGGTTGCCCAATACATAATTGTATCAGCCTAAACATTCTGCATACAGTCACGTCACGGTGGCACACTTTATTGCAAACATATGTATTTCCTAAAAAAGAGCAATAGCCTTGCTTTGAAAAAAAATCAATTAGCAAAGCATTTCACTCTTTACAGAGTTCATAAAAAAAGTAGAAAAATTGTTGTCAACAAATTGTAATAAAGCATAATGTTTCTTGTATATCAATACAGATACACAGAGCTAAATACATGCATTAAACAATAGTTAATCTGTTGCTGTACAGTAAATGGTGTACATGTACAGCACTATGTATCAGCGAATGTACAATGCAACAAGGAAAAAACACATTAATTTAGTAGAAAAGTATTTCTTTAGGTTTTCGGGTTATTTTTGTTTATGTGCCAATTATTTATTCGGGGTAAAGTAGGAAGCCACTGAGTGAGGTGTAGTGTCTGGAATTACTCCACGCCTGACCATTCATGGTCAGATACACCGTGTCTCCTCGCTGCAGAACCAAAACCGCGCTTCCAGACACCTGCTCAGCGCTACTTGAATCACTGCTAGCACCGGAGACAACCCAGTCGTCATTCTTTTTAAGATGAACGTCCAAGTGGGCGCAGGAAGAAGTTTTCAACACCGAAAACAAGAACACGTAGGTGCCCGGCACACTACATGTAAATGTGGCAGACTCGAGATCGAAGCTGGTACCCGGCAGAAGCGTCAAGGTCTCCTGGAAGGGCAAACGGGTGTAGTGACTCGTAGAGGTATCCGAGTTGCTCGTCCTCACCACGGTGAATGCTACCCGCTGGTTGGAGTCGCCTCGTACGCGCGTCACCCCTGGCTCACCCTTCTGACCTTTGACACCAGTGTCCCCGGTTGTTCCAACTAAACCCGGGGGTCCTCTCGGACCTATCTTGCCAGGCAGGCCAATCCCATCATCACCGTTAGACCCAGTGTTCCCAGGTGCTCCCCGATCACCCACAGGGCCAATCTGACCAATCTCACCCTTCTGACCTTGCTGACCTGCAACGCCCTTCGACCCCGGAAGCCCATAGGGACCCATCTGTCCCACCGGCCCAGGCAGACCTGGTATGCCGGGTATTGCAGCAGGTCCCTGGCAGCACTGCTGACACACCTGAGACGCAGGACCATCACCATCCGAGGGAACCGGCCTAGTAACGGAAGCTCGGAGAATGACAGTGTTACCTAAAAGTAGGACGATCGAGAGAACGCACATCTTCATCTTTAAGGAAAAACAAAAAAAGCGAAATAAATAAATATGGGAACAAATAGGGAAAGATGAGAGAAAAATATTAAGTTTAGAGAAAGTGGGGAAGTACAAAAGCCCATTAGCGCCACTGCAAGTATATGTTAGTAATACGTTATTACGGATTGTTAATTCGTTATTAAGGATTGTTTAACTCGTTATTACGGATTATTTAATTCGTTATGACGGATTATTGATTCATTATTACGGATTATTTAATTCGTTATTACGGATTATTGATTCGTTATTACGGATCATTTAATTCGTTATTACGGATTATTGATTAAATATTACAGATTATTATTTCGTCATTACGGATTATTAAATTCGTTATTACGGATTATAAATTTGTTATTACGGATTATTATTCGTTATAACGGATTATTAATTCGTTATTACGGATTATTAAGTCGTTATAACAGATTATTAATTCATTATTTCGGATTATAAATTTGTTATTTCTGATTATAAATTCGTTATAACAGATTATTAATTCGTTATTACGAAATAAATCTGGTACTCACTTGCGGAGAGCACGTGATCAGAATGCACTGAGAGCTGGATGGGGTTAAATTAAAAGGCAACATTTCGGGAACAAGTCCCCAGATTGTCTTAAAGCATAGTATCATCGACCCTGATCACAGAATGGCTAGTCTTAAGTTTCGCTAGATCAGACAAAGGCCCATTGGCAGCATGCGGCAAATTGTTCATGTAATAAAATTTGAAAACAAGATCAAATCAAGTATCATTAGCTTGGAACCTGTAGATTATGCAAAAAACGGTGTATGAGAGTGATTGTAGATCAGACTAATAAACTTTACCCCACCTTTTCTTTTTCGCTCATACCCGTACGACACAACGGTAGAGGAGAAAATAAAACCAGCTTTTATGGGTGCCTTGGCACTTGTGAAATATGAAAATATGACTAAAGAGTAATTTTAGGTCAAAGTAATTAAGAGCGGCGCGAAATACGGAGGGGGAGGGAGCGCAACCCCCTCCATGTTAATTTGTTCCTTATATCGTCGCAATGCACTTTTTAAATCCCGTCACGTTTCTCTGACAGTTTTCTCTGACGGATGTCTGTGGTTATTTTGACACCAAGTTTACGTAAATAGGGCATACCTACGTCACAAAATGTCCATTTACCAAAACAGGTCGATTTAAATGTTAACTTTTTCCATCACATTGACCATGTTTAATTTACATGTACAGTACACGAGAGTGCGCAGGAGATCGAGAATGCCGACTGTTTAGTTGACCATGACAACAAATCATTTTAACAGGTTGAATTGAAACTTCACACATGTACTACAGATATTTTGGTTTCCATTCAAATAATTTCAGATGTGGGAGGAGCATATCAGACCTCTGGTACCCTGGGATAAGTCAATTAACTTTGTATACAAACTCATCACTATTTATCATTTATATTCTTCAAAACGCCAGCTTTTCGTTAACAAAGTCACAGAAGTGCAATGGAAGGATATTGCAACTATTATTCTACACTCATGATATAAATTCAGACCCAAAAGACAATGACCTCTAACATCCGTTTCCTTTTTATTTCTGGTGGCAGCCGCAACAATGATACGACTGCATATAAGGCTTTGGACATGGGCGTCGCGAGGAGGGGGGAGGCAAAGATGGGGGGAGCAAAGATGGGGGGGGGAACAAATAGAAAAAAAGGAAGAAAAAAGAGGCGCGATGTAATATTGCTGTAAATGTTATGTTGAGAAATATGTTTTGCCCCCTCTTGAAAAAAAATCCGTAATAACGAATAAATAATCCGAAATAACGAATTAAATAATCCGTAATAACGAATTAATAATCAGTTATAACGAATTAAATAATCTGTAATAACGAATTAATAATCCGTAATAACGAATTAATAATCCGTAGTAACATATTGATTTATTCGGTTGAGTACCGGGACGAATTAGAATAAATCTGCTTTATCATTGATATGTAAATGAGACACGGTAGAGTGGTTAAGGGCGGGTAATTTGAATAGGGAGTGGCACAGGAATGTGTGCGTGGTTGGATTGAAGGTAGATCACTTCACGCTTGCGAGCAGCAACGACAACACACAATTTTTAACACAGTTGTTAAGTCTGGTTGTAATTTCATAGTTGTTCAATGTCTCAAACAGTATTTATAAGAGACGAACATTGCTACCCTTGCCTGAAGGAGTTGTCTTGCATAGTTCAGGTGTACGTTTCCATTTTTCCAAATATGGTTTTGGTTTTTCGTATCTGGCAGTCAACACAGCAATGTTAGATGGGGTACAAATCCAGAAACAGCCATAATGTAATAGACGAGTGGTATCTTGCGATTATTCAATTATAAGTATAGCTAAAGGTTCTGAAGCCTAAAGGAAAGTTTTGTAAAGCTGAAAGGTTGAAATGAAATCCACCGTAACAAGTGGCAATCAAGGTATGGTCGGAGTAGTCTCTGACGGAGGTATAAAACGAGAATTGCAGGTTGGCAGTAAGATTCATAAAGATCAGATCTACTAGATGAGATGCTGGAATTGTTCTAGCGATCTAATGCGTTCAGAATGCAAACAAGTCTGAATAGACTTGCACCATAGTATGCGTGATTTATCCCCAGCGGAAGGTATTTGGTATTGTACAAAACCAAAAAAGATAGTTCTGAAAAGCTTGCCTTAATATAATATCAAATGTGGTACGAATATTCAGAAATAACCATAACAATTGTAAAGAGGAGAGAAGTCTCAAGGTTAATTCTATTATTGATTACGCAAATATGCTAAATGAAAGGCTCTTACGCCTAAATGATAGACCCTAGTTCTGTAAATATTGTCTCCATCAAGACGTCTTTAAGGTTCAAATTATTGAATGATGAATTAAAACACTGTCGTTCCTGGTAGTCATCACAGCGATGACACTAAACATAATATCAAATGGGGTACGAATAATTAGAAATAATCCTAACAGTTGTAAAAACGAGTGTTGTACGTCTCAGGTATAATTCTGTATAATTAATTGATTACTTAAATGTGTCTATAATGAAAGGCTCTTACGCCTAGATAACAGATGATAGTTCTGTAAATACTATCAAGTCTTTACTAAAAGGTTCAAATTATTGAAAGATGTAATTAAAACATTGGGTCGGCGTACCCGGTTGCTGCTGCAAGCACAAATACCAAAATCAGGATGATTTGATTGTTTATTGTGTAGAATGGTGTTGAAATGATAAATATATTTGCAGTAACGCTAATGGGCTTTCGTAGGGAAGTCATATCAGAGTACGAAATATTAGACTTGTGCCATCGTTTAAGTAAAGCAAAATCAGGAATGACGTGAAGTCTAAATTGAAAGTGTTGCCACCAAACTCAGCTGGTCTAAAGACGAAGTTGAGTGCCTTAATCTGAAAACGTGTCGCTGTGGAAACTTGCAACATTCTTTCACAAGATCATGATATTGTGAACGCAGGAACATGATTTTAGAATATCACTTTGACAAATTCGGCCGAAAATTAACCCTGTCAGCACCGGGGCATTTAAGGTCTCCTCCGAACGGGGGAACATAGTATTCCCCATCCTCATTTCCATATGCGATGGTTGAACTTTTCCTCAAATTTAGCAGGATTAAAATTTAGGAACAGTCGCCAAATGTCATGCCGACAGCGCCGTAACTAATGTGTGTGTGTGTGTGTGCTCTTGTATTGTATTACGCTCGAGGACAGACAACAAAAGGAGCACAAAGGGGCCTTTGATCCTTCTTAGTCTTAGTCTATGGGAAAGTGTTACATTAGAGGGACAAAGGGAAACACAATAGGTTGTCCTCAGGCGTATAGTAAATCACGACGGTGGGCGTGTGTGTGTGTGTGGGGGGGGGGCACCTGGGGGCGAGGGGGGGACCCAAAAGATGACCCTGCTCCCGGTTGCCCTCCATTTAAAATCATGATATCATTTGCCTTCAGTGACTCTCTGGAAATGTGTTATATTTATTGACGCGAACGTGGACGGCCCTGACA